TTTATTCTACCTGAAGGAAGGACATATTTGTTGGGTAACAGAGAGGGAGTTATTTTAATATGTATCAAGCACTTTTTATTAAGATTACACATATGTTTATGATTATTGCCTGATACTTACCCTCTGGATGTCTTTGGACAGACACAGGTGGGATTTGGCCCAATGCCCCAGGATAAGAGGTGCATGAGTTTCATCACTAGATATGGTATATTTATCTAGGTTGGATATCTATGGTATTCAGTTGTACTTGTGCAGTATTACTGTCTTTAATGTTTGTTTCTTTTGTTTTGTCTGTTACTTATCTGCTGGTTTGTTTTTACTTTAGGGACTGGTAGCATATTACCCAGATTTGTGGCCCTACAGGACACTGTTGAAATAGTGAGTGACTCTTCATGATTTCTTTAAAGAATTTAAAAATTCTGCTGTGTCTGCTTTATTGCACATCTAATGAATTGATGATATTGTTCTCTACACATGGGAAGACATTTCACTTCATGTTAATTATCTAGAGATGTTCTTACCTCCGTTGCAAGGGCAAGGGCCGCCAGGCAGGCAAGGATGAGGACCCTCATGGTGCTCAAGGCCTGTGAGAGGGAAAAAAGTACTGTGGTTGTCAATGAGATGTACTCCTTAATTAAGCAGGCTTATCTCTCTTTGAAGAAAACAAAGTGACTATATGTTAGAAAAATTACTAATAGAAGTTTTATTATATAACCAAAGTCAAAAACTTCTATGGCATCTTAGGCTTCCTTATCAACTTCATACTTCAATGAAAGCCATTCAGAGTTTTCAGCTCAAAGCTCTACCCCATCTCACTCTTCTTTTATCTCATTTACAGTACATTGTGTATTTTTCGAAGACAGAAAAAATTATAAATAGATAAGCTTTATTTACTGATTCATTTCATCAAAATGAGTGATATTTATTCAGCACTCTTAATTGCCCAAAGCTGTGTAGGGTCTGCATTTAAAGCAGTGAACAAAATATTAAGGTTTCAGCCCCTATGAATCTTCATGTCCATTGGAAACAGGTTAATTAAAAAAATGTACACAAAGAAGATCATAGTTTATTGTACCTTTTCTTTATTGAATGAAAGAATTTTATGAATATTTGGTTTAATCACATCTCTTTATTTCTAATAACACCTAGATTTTATCTGAGCATTTCACTTGCTGCATTTATCCAGATGTTTTTTGTAGGACTGTTCCATTTGTTTATTCTCTACCTGTAGCCACTCCACAGTCTTCATCCTCGTACACCTAATGACGTGTCTTTTCCTTTGTGCCATATAGCTTTAGACATCATACACCACACTTCTATTTTCTCTGATTTCTTGATGATTTACCAAAGGATCAGGTTCTCTTTCCCACTCCCCATAGCAGACTACTTATTATGGTAGCATAAAATAAAATATGTGTTAATACTTTTGAGCAAAATGTTCTAAAGGCTTCATTTTCTTCCATCTCTATAATTTCTAGTTAAAAAAATACTTGTGCCATAATATACTTTGACATAAAAATCTATAATCTTAGACTTATAAAGTAAATTTCTGCTACAAATATTTCATGAACAAGTCCTTAATGCATGTGCAAAATATACTTTGTAATATTTAAGACTGAAATATTTCTCTTTATTAGGCTAATATGAATTCTACATTTTTCTCATGGGTGCTATATAATTCTTACTAATTTTACTTTGCTTAAGACCTCTGTAAGTTTCCAATTAATTTTCATTTCAGGTCTCAAAATTGTGTTACTATATTAAAGATCATTACAATTAGGGAAGATCACGTTGCATTTTCTACATTTCATAGTTCACATTTTGTATACCAGTTTTTAGACAAACTTTATTATTGAAATACAGAGTCTAATATACTCTTTCTTTAAAATCTTTCTTTTCAACTTTTTTCTATCCTAAAATTTTTCTTACAAAGTAAAATTTAGTTTCATTTTAACTGAATTCTCTTTTTCCTAGCTATTTGATTATTTTTTAAATCTCATGAACTGAATGATAACATGGGGTGTTACATGTTCTAAACTAGTTCAATGAATGCTTCTTCTAAAATATTATTTATAAACATTTCAAATAGTATATGTTTCAAGTACTTCCATAATATCTTGATTCACACTATGCTACCTTGATGACTACCTTTTGAATAAAGCTTTCAGAATAATTTTCAAAAATAAGTTAAATATATTCAATTTTATAAATTTAATATGTTTAACCAAATTGGAACATATAACTCACAAATTAGATCTTTTAATATAGCCTGTTATCAACCCTAAATGGAAAAATATATAACCACATTTTGAAAATATTACTACATTTTCTTGGACTCATATAGCTTATTTGGCCAAACCTTATCATGTTCACCAAATCTTCATAGATATTTCTACTTTGTTTAACCTAAGTGTTGAGAATAATGTCAGTACTACTTTAAGTACCTTTATTTCAAAGCTGATATTTTACAAATTGATTTCTTCATATATCTCAACCTAGTTGAAATAAAGCTAGAGAAGACACATCAAATTTACATGGGAAATACTTACCTTTTTTCCAAGGTGGAGGACAAGAAGTGAAGGTGGAGCTAAGTGGATGATGGTCTGTGTGTTTTTGTGGCTGTTTAATTACTGTATTCAATGGCATGTTAATTTTGTGGTTTGAGATAAAATCAACAGTAGGCTTCAATTCCAAGAAGTCTGCATTAATAGAAAACGGTTTCTGCCCAATATCTGTCCTCAGAAATGCTGGGAAGAATTTTCAGAAGGAAATGATTCACAGCTGGCAAAGAAAATCTGTCCAGGAAATGCAGTTGTCTAGTAACTGAAGACAATCATTGGAGGACCCTGACCCTCTGGCTCAGTCCGCGCGTTCAGACTTAATTAGGTCTCCAGCACTTGGGGGCCCCTCAAGATCTCACTTGGGGGGATGCTATCTGAGCACTGGACATGAGCAGGGGCTTACAAAGGCCACAATTGCACACTAACCTGAGCAGCTGTTAGTGTTTTATGCCACCATGGAGAAAAATGACAGATAACAGGTCCATGATGGTAACTTTGTCATGTGAGTCAAATTGCAAAGCTTCACAGCCACTTAATTTAGGCACAATAAATAGTTAACTTAAAACTAATATCCTTTACTTAAGAGGATTAGGCCTTTCTATGTAATGAAACATCTCAGAAAAGGAATCTTGGTGGCTCATATAGGCAAAATCTTTTATAAATCTGTTATAAATATTTTGTAAAATGTCAGGAAGACTTATTTATCGATAAATATGGGTTACCTTTTTCAAATCAAGCATAATAACTAGAACAGTTTTACATTTTTACTTAGTGCCAGCCCTACGGGAGGCTTTGTGCCCTTTAGAGACTTATCGTGTATGTTTGTAGCAAAAACTTCATGAGAGCTTTCCTTTCCATAATTTCTATGAAGAAACTGAGACACCAGTAAGATAAGTAACTTGCAAAATCATGTATTTTGTTCATTGCAAAGATGCCATTTAAAGCCATATGTGAGCCCATGTATTTCTATTTGATTATATGAATGCCCATGTATTAACCCCATGAGTTGTTGTTATAAAATTTGTCTATCAATGTAGCATTTGGGCTTAAACTTGCATATTTGTCATCCCTGCATTGGAGTAATGGGCACCTTTGCTGAATGTGAGCTGGGGTTCTGGTCTTTAAGGAGCTATTATTCTAGTTTAGACTTAAAAGAATGAGGACAATTTTGAGACACAATCAAATGTGAATAAATCAGTCTGACTGACAGAAATATGGGTGCTTGAACAGTGATATGCCATGTTTGTTGGATTCTGTATTTTAGAAAACACAGAATACGCAGAATATAAGTTACCATTACAGGGCTGTTTTTTTATATTTTTTTGGTTTGTTTGTTTTTTTAGATTTTTACTTATTTATTTTTAGAAAGAGGGGGAGGGAGGAAGAGAGGGAGAGAAAGATCAGTGTGTGGTTCCCTCTTACCCAACCCCTACTGGGAACCTAGCCTGCAACCCAGGCATGTGCCCTGACTGGGAATCAAACCAGCAGCCCTTTGATTTGGAGGGTGGCACTCAACCACTGTGCCACACCAGCCAGGGCTGTTACAGGGTTTTGATGAAGTCACATCATGGGTCCTTTTGAATTTGAGACTTGCATTGTGATATAATACAGTGAAAATAAGGAAGGTATTAGAGATTTGAAAGAAAAATGGATTGTAGATTTTCTGGAACATATGTTTTTATGAAAATATGTAAAGCAACCTAAAAAAAGAGGTTATTATAAGAAATGTTATGATGACCTCAACTACAGAAATGATGTTAGGCATGTTAGGCAATGGAAAGCAAACTGACATTAAAGAAGAGAGATCTGAGAAGTCAGAGAAATGAATCATAAAAATTATCGATGTTATAAGTCAATTTGGGAACCCAGCTGAAATTAGAAAGGAGATACTCAGTTAAATCTCCACATGGTAAGATTGAATGTGTCTGAGATGTGATATGAATTAAATATGCTGCTCAATAGAGTCACATGTATAAGAGTAGAACATAATTTCTATTTTCTTGCAAAGGAATAAATGAACTTCTTTCAGGGAAAAAAATGGCAAGTCAAAAAAGAAATTGTCTAATAGAGTTCAAGTCTACCCTGTTTTTCAGAATCTGGTCCAGCAAAAGGAAATAGGAAATAATACAGAGAATCATGGAGAAGAAAGTAGAGGATCATTGGCACCATGAGAATAAATAGCTAGAAAAAAAAAGCCAAGGCAAGAGTGAAAATGCTACACAGGTGTGGAATAAGGTGGAAACAAAGAAGAGATTTCTGGACATATGGAGTGATTATCACTGTAACCATTGAGATACACTCCAAGTAGTAAATAAGTAATGTCTAAGGAATTAAAAGCAACACTGCACTTCAGATATTTTAGAAGTAGAACTAAGGGCACCTATGGAACAGCATCTATGACTAAAGGAACAACCAAAATCATATGAAGGTAATTTCAGGACAGAGATTCTTACCTTAAAAGAAAGAAGCAAGAGGTAAGGAATGGCTGAAACGGATTGAAGGAGTGGGGATTAAATTGATAAGGCAAAATCCAGTAGGACCAGAGTTACAACCAAAGAAATAGACCTATACAGAATGTACCAGTTTCTCTGAGAATAAAGAAAAGGAGGAGAAGATCAGTAAATATAACACATACTTAGAAACACAGGTTAAAAATTGAAAAAAGAAATGGTCCACTTTTCCAGTTAGATGCAGGATGGGGATTTCAACTGACAGGGAAGTGGATGTGGCTTTTCTGTATTTGAAAGAGGAAATATTTTGATTAATGTGAAAATAAAATTGAATAAGACTATCCACAGCATTAATACCTAGATGAGAGTAGAAATCACCTTGTTTTCTTTACCTAAGTGGATTAATTTTTAAGATGGTTGCAGTTTAATATAAGTACATCAAGGGAATTGTTGGGATGGGAATAGGGAATAGAATGTGTTTATGCTAAATAACTGATCATAAAGTGCTGGTTGTTCTGGGAGGAGGAAGGGGCAGCAGTTGAGTAATAAACTAGTACCCCC